ATTTTTGTACATACTATGGATATTTCAAATGGCTTTTTTTACCTTTTGGCCTCACTAATACTCCAGTCTCTTTTATGGATCACATGAACAAATTTTTTTAGGACTTTTTGGACAAGTATGTAGTTGTCTTCATTGATGATATCCTTATATATAATAAAATCCTTAAAGAGCATGAGCAACACCTACGAGAAGTGCTGAGCTGGTTACAAGATAGTCACTTCTATTGCAAACAATCAAAATGTGAACTTTGGAAGTTAAAAGTCACATTTTTGGAGCATGTGATGTCTTCCAAAGGCATGCACATGGAGTAAGATAAAGTGTAGGCAGTGGAGAATTGACCAACCTTCAAATAAGCTTCTAAAGTCTGCTTATTTTTATGCCTTGCTAGATATTATCGCAATTTTGTTCAATGATTTGCACACATTGCTACCTCATTGGCAAATCTATTGGAAAAAGATGTCCCATTTGAATGGAAACTGGAGCAACAAAGCGCCTTTGATAGGTTGAAGGAAGTACTCATTACTGCTCTAATATTGTAACCATATAATTCCAACTTTCCTTATACACTTGACATTGATGCTATTGACTTTGTTAATGGAATGGTCCTTCAATAAGACTTTGGTAGGGGCCTTCAATTTGTAGCATATGCATCATGCAAGCTTAAAAGGCGAGAGCACAATTACTATGCACGAAATTGAGAGCAATTAGCAATTGTACATGCTACAAAGGTGTGGCAACACTATTTATTGGAGAAGCCAATGGTTGTTTGGACATCAATCCTTGCTACATGATTTACATTTGAAAAATATGAAATCATGACATCATTGTTAAGAAGAAAAATTACAACTTTTTAATATTCAGCTTGAGTATAAGAAAAGGTGACAACATATTGTACTAGATAGCTTATTGCGGAGACCAGACTTGAAGGCCAAATTGAGAAATAAGATAGAAGTTGCTATCATTAGTAGTGTCATTTCAAACCTAACCAAAGAGGTAAAATGGAAAAAAGCTACATATCAAGATGCTTATTTCAAGATGGTTAGCGATCAATTGAAGGTAGGAAATACATGATATCAAGATTACATTCTTAGTGATGGCTTGCTCTATTTCAAAAAGCAAATTTATATGCTTGATAGTGCTATATTCTGGATGTGCATACTTCAAGAGAGATATGACATTCCAATATTTAGACATCTAAGGCAAGAGAAGACTTTAGAACAAATCTTAAGGATATACTTTTGGACAAATTTGGATCATAATGTTCGAGCTTTTATGGACTCGTATAAATCGTGCTAACATAACAAAGCAGACAACACAGCGTCTTCTGAATTATTGCAGCCAATTCTACTATTTATTATACATTGGAAGTAAGATACTATGGATCTCATTATGTATTTGTCATAGATGCCTCATAATCATACTACAATTGATGTCTTTGTGGATCGACTCTCAAAGCAACTTCACTTAGCTATGGTGTACTTGGATATTGATGCCTTAGCACTTATATGGATCTTCTTTAATATTGTCTTTCGTTACCATGGATTACTTTGTGTGATCATTTCAGATTAGAATCCATACTTCATAAAAAGCTTTTGGCAAACTTTGTTCAAGCTACTAGATACACTACTTACCAAGTCTATAGTCTTCTATCTCCAAACAAATAAAAATAAAAAATAAAAATGTACAAATTGGACTTTAGAGCATATGCTACGTTTGTTTATAATAATTCATCATAATATCTGGAATGAATACTTGATGCTCTTGAAGTTTGCTTATAATGATAGTATTCAATCAAGTACTGATCATTCATCATTTTTTTGTAACAGTGATTAGCATCCAATTATGCCAACTTTTCATCATTCTATAGACACCAATAATTGAACAATGGAAGAGTTTATACAATGGCTTATAACGGCCTTACAACACGCATGACACTGCCTCTTTATTAAATAGAATTGAGAAAAGCAATATGCAAATAGTCATCGACAATATAAGACCTTTTGAATAGGTGATCAAATGTTACTCTCTAATATCAACTTGTAATTTGCAACATCAACCCAAATCTATAAACTAACACCTGAGTGGCTTGGACCTTTCAACATTTCTACAATGATTTTTGATATCACATACCACCTCGAGCTTCCGCTACATATTCAAGTCCATCTAGTCTTCAATGTTTTGCAACTAAAAGAATTTCATATCAAGCCAAAGAGCTTTCTAGATTGATACCAACTACAACCACCACCAGTTGTAATTGATTACCAATAAGAATATGAAGTAGACAACATTTTTGAGCATCGCGACCTTCACCATGGTAGTAGACATCCACAACTTCAGTAAAAAATTCTTTGGAAAAGTTATCCCATCTATGATGCAATATGAAAACCTGCACAAAATCTCATTCATTACCATGGGATGATTTGGAAATACCATTGGGAGCGAAATAAGGATGTTCTACATTAGTAGAGAGGGATTAATTGTAACGGGATATAGATAAGATATTTGTATTGTTGACACATAGCAATAGATAGTTGGAACCATACTGGAGAAGTTATGGAAGTTTCTAGAATTATGGCTAGGTTAGTGGATTATGTATGACTCACTCTAGATCATTTAAAAAAAGTTTAGGGTGGTTATTTAGGTAGGATCCACCACAGAACCTTCTAAAAGGAATTTAAGGTGGTTATCTAAATGGGGTCCATTATCTAAGAATATTTTAGAAAGTCCAGGATTGTAGAACAAAATATAAATAGGACTAACTAGGGCCTTCTAGGCAGTTGGTCAGGTATGACTTTAGTTGGTCAGGTATGATATTGAAGATTTATATAGATTTACAATATGCATATTAAACAACTTATGTCTATATGTATCTTTTTCTCTCAAAAAAATTATAAAATTTTCTAAGTATAAATATCATAATCTTATAATTTTTTATCTAATTGTCTATTTAACATGCATGGTATAATGCATAATAATTTGTAAAAAGTCGTTTTAATTCTTTCTAATAATTGTATTGTATTTTTAAAAAGTATTTATTAATCAAACTCAATTTTTTTAAAAGCACAATAGAAAGTACTTCTTATAAATATTATGTTAAAATATTCAATAATATTTTATAGTCTTACCATTTTTATAAGAATAAAATTCCAAACTTAAATTATAATAAAATATTATAAAAAGCATTCTTAAATTTATTTTTTTATTATAATTTATTTTTACATAAAATTCACTAAATTTTAAATTTAGAAATTTACTTAAAATATTACAAAAATAATATAAATATTATCATTATGTATGTATATATGTACTTCTATTTTTATGCTTTGATTTTTTTTTATCAAAGTATGGTAAAATTTCAATAAACAACATCGATTTTTTATTAATATTTACTTTTGATTTTTAAATTTTCTTCCTTTTAAACTCTATTTTATGATATAAATTTTAAATTATTTAGTTGCATGAAATAGATAGATATATATATATATATATATATATATATATAATTTTACTTGTTTATTGAAATATTATTTTGTGTTGGTGTAGTTGATTGGCCTATTGGAATTTTGATGTTCTAGAGATTTTTCAAAATTCCAATAGGCCAATTCATATATATATATATATATATAATTCTCCTGTTGACTCTTTTGACCGGGTTCAACGCCGCCCCGACCGCTGGTCACCAATCACGACCATTGGCCGGCAGCGGCCGCGACTGCACGAGTCCGCGACGCTTTCCGCAAGTGCCCCGCAAGCTTCAGCGCAGCCAGCGGGGGAACAATTCTGCGCAGTAGCACGAGAAGGAAGACAAACCCACCAGGGATTAAGCCTAACTCAGCGCAAAGCTTGCATTGCCGATGCTAAATTGAAATTTTCAATCCAAATCTCGGAAAAAATCGAGCCTATTCGAGGAAAACTAGGGCAATAATCGAGACGCAACAGTGGCCTGCCCAATAATGAGCACTAAAACGGGATTCTGCGCCATCCTTCCTGCGAGATTTTGCACTCTGACCTCAGCGTGCGATCGCTGCCAATAGATGCGAGAGGCCCAAAAGTAAATCAGCAAAAGCGAAAAAAACAAAAAAACATAAAAATCACAAAAACCAGCCTTCTTTACGCGTGCGAGTTCTACCCATTCCCCTGGCGATTTGATTCTGCTGTGAGGCCGCGGCCGAAATCCAGGCACACTACATTTGCTTCACTGCCGTGCTTCAGTCTCGTCGAGTAATACCTCGTGTAGGTTGTACAGGTGCCGGCTCTGCCCCAGGGTGTATAGTTTGGATTTAATTTATAAGTGAGAAGCAGCTTCAGAGTCCCTCAAATGGGCTGGCGGGTGTGATCTGAGGTGTCAGGGGGACTGAGCAATCGCCTGGGAAGAAGTCCCTGAGATGAGTCAGATTCAACTGACTGCATCACCCTTAGAAGTTCTGAGCTGCGTAGTGGATGCGCTGCTGCCGTTCGCAACATTGGCTGACTGAATGCTTTTAACACATGAATGACAATTCTGCCCCGATGTCCACAGGCTGGTGCGTAGACGGGGTTGTGGGACACAGGCAGTGGAACTTCATCGTCCGGGACGACACAAATACTCAGAAGATGAAAATTTTGTGTGAAAGTGAGCACTCCATCGGTGGGGGACTGAGCATCACAGATTCGGATGGCTTTTGATGTGAAGAATCTACAGTGGCCCATCTCAGAAAGCGCAGAGGGACGACCAGCTCAGAAGTGGTGGTGCAGAGCATTTCTTACCCTTTGAGCAAAATACACTTGTCATTGTACGTGGGCTGCTGCTGCCGCTGCTTGTTAAAGCGAGATCCCCAGCTACGGTCGGACTGCGCTCTCCCGATTGCAACCGAAAAAACTGAAATTATTACGCAATCACCGAAGCCAAAATTGGACCACTGTTGCTACACCAGGAGTTCCTCGGAGGCTGCCCACGTGGCCTACGAACGCATTGCCCGGTCCAGACCACCCCCTCTCCACTTACACTGCCCCTCTCCCCACTGAGAGCAGACCATGTCCGATTTGCAAGAGAACGTGGGTGGCACTGCAGCATGATGTCTACAAGAAAGCAAGTGGCAGAAATTGAGAGAGGAATCGAAAAGCGCAGCAGCTTGAGCTGCTGTTGCTAATTGCAGGTTTATCGCAGTGAGGAATATATTTCGGGTGGGCGGGAGGGAGGGAGGTGGACCTCCTACTGTCAGACGTGATTTTTGCAGCGTTGACGCGGGTGTTGATCTACGTCTGAATTGCGAGTATGTTTTTTTCTTCATTTTTTAAAACTTTCCCTCGCCTGGCGACATCGATTAGTGCAGCGGAAGTGGACGACCGTGGTCATGAGATGCTCTCTAGCCGCAAGCTGACGGAATTCGCTGCTTGGGACGTGGAGAAGGCAGCGACCAGGGGGGAGGATTTAATTTTTGGGATTGACCACGTGATGAAGATTTCGTAGCGACGATTGCGGAGAGCCTATCGCCCTTCTCACTTGAATATTGATGACTTGCATGCAGAGCTCCTGAAACGACTGCTGTCTGAGTAGTTGGGCGATTAAACCAGGACGGCACGCAGGCATGGAGTTCGGTGGGCAAATTCCTTACGGAGGGAGAGATGGTTAACCTGATTGTTGGAGATTGAAGTTGAATCATCAACTCCACTACCAACTGCCACACGAAGTGTCTCGAGAAGTGGTAGAAATCCCTGGTGAGTTTTGTAAATAAGACGGGACTTCGGCTCAATGAATTTGGAACAACAAGGGTGCTGATGCACTTCTAGGACTAGAATCATGGACTTCAAGGACACTGCAGCGAGAGAATCCGGTAAAGTGAAGGAGAAGGTGGGGTCGAAGGAGGTCGACTGCCAAGCCGCCGTGAAATTCCACATGTCTGCTTTCTCCGACCTGCGCATCTACCTGGTTTACGTTCTCATAGCCGCTTGCTGTTTCTTGATACTCCTCGCACAGCTCCTTCCTCTTCGAAGCTTAGACAAGTCCCAGCTGCCGTGCAACGACAGCGTCAGTATTGTAAGTCCCGAGACGAATCTCGAATTCCCCATCGACCCACTCTCGAAATCTTTTCTCCATGAGAACATCATTAATAAGTCCTCCTTAGATATCAGCAAAGGGGAGCTCCGCGTTTTCAAGCCTCATGGATTAGCTATGCACTTGTTTATTGAAATGGGCGCGTACCGAGGTGGCCCACGGGTATTCTCAGTTGTGGGACTTATTGCGAAGCCGATTCAGACGTTTCATAAGCCGCCATATGTGTGTGAGTGGGTCACCAACGTAGGAAGGACCATCAAAGGGAGGGCAAGCAAGATTCTGCCGGATTGGAACTATGGCAGACTTTACACTGTCGTGGTGATCACATGCACATTCAGGGTGGACGTAGGGGTACAGAAAGAGGGCGGGGAGCTCGTTTTGCAGGTCAGCTATGGCGACCAGTTCAGGCAACCAGAGAAGATTGTGGTTCTCACTGAGAGGCGGGGGCAATACAATGCGACGATGTTCGATCCGCCCTACCCATATGACTACGTCTACTGCGGTTCATCACTTTACGGAGATGTAAGCCCGCAGAGGATGCGCGAGTGGCTAGCTTACCACGCGCACTTCTTTGGCGAGAGGTCACACTTCATGTTCCACGATGCTGGCGGGTTCCACCCCCAAGTGTGGAAAGTGTTGGATCCGTGGATTAAGAAAGGGCGAGTCTCGGTGCAAAACATCCAGCAGCAGGAAATCTACGATGGGTACTATCACAACCAGTTCTTGGTTGTGAACGATTGCCTCTTTAGGTCGCGGTTCATGGCGAATTGGACCTTCTTCTTCGACGTGGATGAGTATCTACACGTGCCTCCGACGACTACTCTCGACAAGGTGCTGAATGACAATCCGAACGTCACCCAAATAACGTTTGAGCAGGTTCCAATCTCAAACAATCTCTGCGTCGCGGACAACATCACAACTGATGGTCACGCAAGGTTTGTCGCTGGACCCTCAAACCATGACTTCCATCCCTCAATCCTCTATTTAGTTGTGCGCTTAGTCGAATTTCTCAATAGAGATGGAGATTAGAACAATCCACGAACAGGATTTGGAGGTGCTGGGAATGCTGTAGTAATGTTGAGGTTGTTGCGCAGAAAATGGGCAATTGAGAAACTAATGTACAGAAAAGTATTGAGGTCGGGGGTTCGCTACGACCGCAAGTATGCTGTGCAAGCCCGGTATGCAGCCGCGACAGGGGTTCACATGTCTATGAACATGAGAAAGGGGAAGAATATGTATCCGAAAGGATACAAAATCAGGTACTATCACTACCACGACACAATCAATAAGCGAGAGGAGCTATGCCAAGCATTCGTCTCTCCGCAGAACAAAACTTCGCTGCAGCGGCATCAGCGTCAGAACTACCGATTAGATGAGACGCTGGCCATGACAACCCAACTTATCAAAGATTACGAGCGCCGAACAATTGGGTCCCTACCATTTATCGTGTAGTAGCCCCAACCAACCCCCAAGTATAAAACCACACACTACAAGCGGCTTGCTACAGACATGTCGTGGAACTCAGGGCGTCGTGACTATATTGGAGGCCGCCCTATTCTCGAATCTGCAACAGTTTTCCTCCCTCGAGACGAGCCCAAGGGAGGCCTGGCACTGCGTCAGATGCACACCAGAGAGTGGTCGCCGGTTGATAGGAAACCTCATGATCTGCAAGCAGATCGGAAACCCTAAAAATGGGAGTTTCTGTGATTTCTTCGACAAAAACAGGCTGGAAACCAACTCGGATCATACCCTAATTGGAGAAGGGCTTGTCCTTGACCAGCACCTGTTGAACAAGAACGCCCTCCGACATTGTGTGCTGTTGGGTACATTCTACTTCCTTGGCCTTGTGGGTGTGTCATGACGCCCCCAGATCGGAATTAGGGTTTTCGGACGCGACGCTCATTGAAAAGGCTCCCATGGCCTTGGCACGTTCTTCTGGGAAGCTTGTCTTTTTATGATGCATTCTTCAAGTTTGAAATGCATGGCTCGTGGTGACATATCCAACACGTTGTTTTTCATTTCAGTACCTTTGTTTTATTTATGAAGAGTGGAGGAATTATTATGGAAGTGAACTATTGATGTACTATGTGTTTTGGTGTAAGCAAAAACTTCCTCACAAATTTTTAAGTGCTTGCAATGTTTAAGAAGTGTACATGCCACTACTGCAAGTCCAAATCCATTAGACATGAACTGAAACAAATCACACAAGATCTCTAGGAGTATTGTAACCTTCAAAAGATTTTAGAAGATGAAATGGATAAATTGTATTTGTGATAGAGGATGTATTATAATCATGAGTTGTTTTTTTTTTGGTGACAGTGATTGTTGTCAAATCTTTGGGTGAGCCAAGATCTTGCTCTAACTTTGCATGATGACCAAAGATTGTGAATTCACCTTCAAATTATCAATTTCAAAGAATTTATATAGTAAAGAATCTTAAGTATAAGACAAAGACATAAAAAAATCTTTTCATTGACCAAAATCAAACTTATTGTTGCTATAACCACCAACATAAAGCCTTGCATAACTTACAAAAAGTCTTTTAGTTTACTATCTCTAAAAAGTTTTGTGTGTCCAATAATACATGTTTTTGCTAGTAGTAATATGAACATAAACTTTGTATAAACATAAATTATATCTTTAAAAGTTAGTTATGTAAGCATGTTTATATATATATATATATATATATACACATATTTGGAACATGATATATATATATATATATATATATTTATTTATTGCTATAGAGGTATTAATATTTGAAGATATTATTTAATCAACTATTGTTTCAAATTTTGTTTCTAGTTTTTTTAATGTATTTCATACATTCTTTCCAAACATCATGTTATAAAATTAATTCACTTATTACTTAATTTACAAATAATTGCTATGCCTTATATTATTCATCTATAAACTACCATCTTATATAGACATAATAAGAAAGTTTGTGCATGTAAACAAACTACCATCTTATATAGACATAATAGAAAAGTTTGTGCATGTAAACAAAGAGGAAAATAAAGAAAAAAATAGATATTATGAAAAAAAGAATATACTTCTAGATTGGAATTAAAAAGATACCACTATTTTATAAATATACTTGTATGTATTTTTTTAAATCCAAAATTAGAAAAAAATATTTAAAAAATATATATATAATTAAATGTAAAAGTTATATTAAAAACTAATATATAATTTATCAATTAATAAATTTAAAAAATATGGAGATTAAAAATGGAAGTATATAGAAATTCAAAGCTGCAATTTTTATTTTTATTTTTAAAAAAGAAAAAAAAAAAAGAGAAGAAGCTTTGATGTGATTAAAAATCTATTCTAATTTACTTTCACATATTTATCAAAATTTTCTAGAATTGTTTTTGAATTAAAATCATAGATGCTATATATGACTCAATATATATACATGCATAAATTATATACACACACATATATATATATATATATATATATAATTTAGAAGATTTTAAAAGAATTTATAAAAAATATAAATGATATAATGTGGAAGATAAAAAAAACATATAATTATCAAGGACATAATCTCAAAGAACTGAAAGGTGAATACATTCTTGTGTCACTCAAAAAGACTAAAAAATCATTCAATAATGATATAGTATTTAATTAGAATGGCTATTGCCAAAGATAAGAAGACTAGAAAGTCTTGAAATATGATTGAGAAGTAGAAAGGTGTTGATTTGAGTGAAGAAGGCTTCACTATTGCTTCCATATATACTATCAAGCTAGGAGCTATGTGGCAATATTTTATAGGACTTCCAACACATGTTGACTTTGCATGACACATATCTTAACTTGCAAAGGAAGTTTTTTATATGTGCACCACATAGTAAGCTTGTTCTACAAGCTACCAACACATATGATATGTGCTTAACTTGTTGATCAAGTTTCTAACCTACCAATCAACTACAAACATATGTAAAGTTGAAACTAAGTTTCTAAAGCTTCTAAGAAGCTTTACTAGAAGATATTTTAAAATTAATCTATTTTTATATATATATTTCTATTTTACTTCTATTTACTTAAATAATATATGTATTTCTTATTTTTAGTGTAATATGGGTTATAAAATTATAAAAAACTTCTTTTAGATTAATGACAAGTTAAAAAAAATACACGTATTTATTTTTAATAATAATAATAATAATAAATACTTATATTTATGCATAATTCTTTTTAAAATATTCTAATTTAATATTTTAATACAATAATCGTAAAATAAAAAAAAAATCTACTATAGTTGTTGACATATGTTAATTATATTCTTAAAAAATAATTAGATTTATTTTATTCTATTTATTTATTTTATTCTATTTATTTATTTTTTATAATTTTTGAAATAACTCAAATCATTTAACAATCATATTATCAAATTGCCTCTTTTATATTTTATTTAGAATAATTCTATTAAGATTTAAGTTTTTTAAATTCATAAGAATAAATATGAATAATAAGTAAAATTTACATATATGGTGATATTTAATAGAATTTTATAGTATTATTGTGTATGCTATGCCACAAAGTAAAAAATGTATTGATAAAAAAAATGATATTAAAATTATTGTTTATATTTTTTATTTCTTAAAAAATTATTAAATGGTCTTTTTTGATGTTTATATAATATGTACTATGAAATCCAATTTTTTTTGTACTTAGGCACTAGTCAGTTTAGAAAAATATTATAAAAGAAAACAAAATATTGAAATTAAATGATAAAATTAACTTTACTTGTAATCTAGAAAAAAATCAACTATACAAATTGAATTTACTTTGAAAAAAATATTGAGTCAAAATCTTCTTTGAATCTTGGTTTTTGAAAGTTTTATTTTTCTTTAAATTATATATATATATATATATATATATATATACATACATACATATTATAGTAGAAATCCATGTTGTTGGACTTAAAAAAGTTATTTATAAATAGTAAATTGGAGGTCTTCTTGCAACTTATCCATAGCCTTTTGCTTATTAACAATTTCTTTGATTTCAACCAATGTAAAGGATTCTTTGTCTCTTTATCTTATACCTAAGCTTTCTTATTCCATAAGTAATATGTTTAATATATAATTTAAAGGAATTTTATTTATTTTTATTATATTATTATAATTTTATAAATATGTTAATATATGTATATATTTTCTACCGTTATAAATCAATGATGAATCAAGTTTATTATATAACTTTAAAAATATTATATTATTATGAATATTGATGACATATGATTAATTTATGCTCATTTTGAAAATAATAGTATAGAACTGCCGTACCAATTGCTTCTGTTTTTTTGTTTATAACTTTAAAATATACTAAAGGTATTATAAATCACATAATTATATCTTAAAGTAAAATAATTATTAACATAAATAAATATTATCATTATGGTTTTGATTTCTATCATTCAAAATCACAAAATAATATGAAAATAAAGAACTGAGGTGTTTTAGAACTTCTAACTTTTATGGTTAGAGCTTTGTAATTTCTATTCAAATTTAGAATAATTTTGCTCAAATTACTACTAATCATTATTTTTCAACTATTTTTTGTATCTTAAGAATATTATAATAATGCTTGTTATGTATTTTTAGATGCCAATCAATATATTAATAACTATATTTTTATTCAAGTAAAAAAAATTAATAACTAGATAGTCAAGTATAATAGTAGATTAATTAAGAAAATAGCATAAATTTCTCTATCAATAATATAAATATTTATATAAAAAATAAATTAGAAAAAAATAATATTACATCCAATAATAATAGAAGACATTGCATTAGGTGAAACATACATAGAATTACAACAATCCAAGAACATTTTCTCACAAAAATCTAAAAGGGACCACACCACCAAAGAAGATATTGAAAAATAAGTCATTCAAATTGATTCTTTTCATAAAATTCTAAATGAAGAATTAATAGTTGGATTTTAAAAGAATATAATAATTTTGATAGTTGTAATTTTGACCTTATTTTTGAAATTGATGTAAAAGTTATTAAGTAAGAAATAAAGTACTTAAAAAAACTTACAATCACAACTAGATTAATAAGAGATATACCATCAAATGTAGTTTTTATACAGTATTTTTAAATATTATATTATTAAATAAAATAATAATAATTTAATTTTCAAAAAATCTAAACACTAGTAGCCTAAACATAACAAAGAAGTTGTAATTTTCCAATCCATGCCAAAAGCTAATAAAATATATATTTTATAATAATAAATCAAAAAAAAATCTAATATTTTAAATTCTCTACAAATTAAAATTGAGTATTCAACTTAAAATATATAATTAAAATTATCTAATAAAGATGGATTGTAAGTAGCACCCTACCCAAAAAAATAGATTATATTTTGTTACTTATTAGGTACAAATATTACATATAAATATGGCATGTGATAAAAAAATTCAAACACTAATAGAATAAAAAATAAAAAATAAAAAATTAGAAATCTAAGTATCAATCTTATCCATCAAAAAATATTAATCTTTAAAATAAGTTTGAAAAAAATAAAAATAAAATAAAAAATAAACTAGTTTGGATTGTACGTATAAATTAGACTATAGATCTTTGTTCCTAATTCAACTTATACATGCAAGAAAGAGACAATGATTGGAACTGAAAGTAATCCATGCCCATACTAATTTGCAGAAGACATTGGTGAAAACAGTGTGATGGTAATGCATAACATCAATTAAGAGCTCAACCACATAGAAATCTGGTACTATTGAAATCCATAAAGCTCCCAGTTATATCAGTAAGATGCAAGACTAAACTGACATTGCTACATCAAAACTAGTAACTCCATCAAAACATGGCAAGAAAATTAGCACAATATCCTTTGGTAGCATGACACATTTGAGCATGAATACTTCCTATAATTAAAATAAAATACTGCCTAATGTAGTGGCTCCAAGCTACTCCAATGTGCCCACAGTAGAGCATGTACACCATATTGGTTAAAACCTAAAACCCTAAACTCTCAAATCTAAAATCCTAAATTCTAAAACCTAAAACCTTAAACCCTAAAACTTGCTCTATCACCACTTTTCTTTATTTGATCTGTGGTCCTGTATTCTATAGTCACTC